AAACAAAAAACAGACTTCCCGTCAGACGCAGCATGCTTTAACCTCCTATATAAAAACGGTAAAGCTTTACCTGATCATATATTCGAACTGGTAAGTATCCTATTTCCCATTGGCATCACAACATTAAGAAATCGTTTAGAAACGGAGAGAACCGATTGAATACGACCAACTGAAATCTTTAAAAAATAAGCCTGTACATAGCGAATTATAAGAAAATTGAAATGAAACTCCAATAAGTGCGATTCCAAACCAAAAGAAAAAATTAAGTACTTCACGGCTTCATTATTACCAAATTACGTTATCAGAACAAATGATCTCAATCATCATTTAACAATCAACAATGATAAAAAGATGGTCACAACACACTCTACAGATGTAGACCAAGAGAACCATGGGTAAACCTTGAAAAATATAAGCTTTATGAAATTAAACTCCACGTCGGTATCTGGAAGCAAAGCAACAGAACTTCAAGTTCAGTCACCAGCAATTGACGACGAACAAAAACACTATTGAACCAAATTTGAACATATGGCACCGTGATCCCATCTTTCCTAGCGAAATCTACCAAAGCGTCTCCAAAGGCTTTAAAAAAATTCTAATGTTGGCGAATCTCCAACGCACAAATTTTGTGCTTGCAACTAACGCTTAATGAGGTGCACTGGTGGCTAAGGAGTTTTTACTCATACGACACTTCTCGAGAAATGCTCTCTTAAGTTTTCTTTCTTTGCTATGCTTTCTGTCACCTTCAGAACTACGTTCTTGCTGGTTATCCAAAAAATGAATACTTTTGTAAATGTCAACAATAAATATAGAATGGCCATAGCATTTGCAAAATTTAAACATCATTGCGTTAGACAAATATAAACGTCAACTAGAGAAGTATGAAAGAGCACAGAAGAATTAATTCGTCTTCGAGAATATTTACCGATTTTCTTCCAACTGATACTGAGATGCAAGGTTTTTAGTAACACATTCTGAGTTGATATGGGTCGGAATTGGTGGCTGCCGCTCGAAAACGTTCGCTTTGCTGCTCGTCAGGCAACCAGCGTTAATAACTAAGGTATTCTTTAAGTCGTTATCTTGCTACAGAGTCTAGTTTTCAAGAAACGCAGTGTTCACAGTAGTCAACTGCAGATTAAATTCTAACATCCCATGGAAACATTGATCCGTCCAATAGTCATTTTCCTTTTACGTCCACATTTTCTTAGTCGGATTACAAGTAAACCTTTAGTCTCGTTATTAGGTTTAATCAGACAGATTTCGATGAACGAAGATACCCCGCAGTAGCAAGAAGCTTAAGACAAACAAAGGAGTAGTCATACTACTGCTTTATAAATTTTGTGACGTACATCGTAGGGTATTGAACGGATAGTTTCAATGCTGAATTCGCGTTACCGTCCTACATGAAAGTTTTCAATTTGTGCTGTAAGCTATCTAGCTAATCAAAAAATTTATTTTCGCAAACCAGTGCAAGGAAGATCAAGGAAACAAAAAGCTAAGAGTTAAAAAACTTCAATAATTGAATGAAGGAAAGCCGAAATAAAACTTCAACGGAAAACAAAGTTAGACTTTTTGTAAATAACCAAATTCGCAAACTATTTTTGACTCCTTAGCTGTCCAAACTCATAAACAATGACGAAAATTTAAAAAAATTTACAAATGACAACTTTCTAAAATTGGTCATCAAAACTTCATAAATTAATCGTTATCTATATGGCAACAATTTTGAAAGGGTTTGAGAGCAAAATGGCTTATCAGATTACTATCAATCAAAACAGGATACTTTCAAACATTACCAACAGCGAACAAAAGGAAATACACAAAAAAAAAAA